TAAAAAATCGGGAATATCTCAACATATGGAACCCTTCTTTACCACTTATGTGTTTCCTGAATTTCAGAGCCAATATCCTTATTTAAGAGCGAGAGTAAGTTTGTTGAAAATGATTATAGCATATAATTTTTTATAACAACTTTTTCTTTAAATGATTAAATTTGTCAAAATTAGGCATGTGACATGCTGGTAAAATTCAGTGATCTGAATTTCGAGAATGAGGCAAACCTTGCGACTGCGTTTCAAGGCGTTACAACCTGCATGCGAGATACAGAGCTTCCTGTTAAGGTTCAAGCTTGTTTATCTCTTCAGTGTATGATACGACACGAGACAGGTATGTCCTTATATTCAAGCGGATCACTATTGCATTAAATAAATATAGATTTTGTTAATATTTTTCATTTTAGTGAGAAATGCGCTTATACCTAATCTTCCGATGATAATGCAAGGTTTATAAAATTAATATTAAAAAATAATATTCTCAATATAAAGATATATGTGTAATACTTATAATTTTGTTAAATCAGAACTCCTCGACCTTACAAATCAGATCGATGCTGACACTCTTTCAAGTGTTATGGAAGAATTCGTTGAAGTGTTCTCGGAAGAATTAACCCCATTTGCTATTCAACTTACCGAGCAGCTGGTATTGTTATAAATTCAAGTAATTAAAATTCATCTATAAAAGACATAACGTTAATACTCATTTATCTATAGAGAAATACGTTCCTGCGTATTATGCACGATTATCAGGAGTCGGAAGCTATTCCTGAGGATGGAAAACTTTTAGATTCATCTGATTTAGATATTAGTGATAAGGCAATGGCTGCTTCCGGTGTTCTCAAGACCATTACCACTGTCCTATTGAGTTTGGAGAGTACGCCAGATCTTCTGGCTCAATTGGAAAATGCGTTATTACCTGTTATAACATATACGCTCGAGAATACAATTACAGGTGAGATGTTTGTAACTATGTAGTAATTATTAATAAGGTTCGCGCAATAATTGTTGGTTTAGTTCTCATCTATAGCTTTTAATATTTCAGACTTGTATGATGACATTTACGATATTATCGACACCTGTACTTTCTCAATCAAACAGATATCTCCAACAATGTGGAGAGTTTTTGAATTAATGTATAAAACTTTCAAGGATACAGGCATAGATTACATTGAAGGTATTGGAACATAATAATATATTTTTTTTAAAAATATTATTATCCAAGTTAAATGTACATTTTAATTTAGAAATGTTTCCATCCTTGGATAATTATTTATCGTATGGAACACTAACGTTCATTCAGAGTCCTACATTGCAAGGGATGGTTTGCGATATCATTGAAACGGTAAGTTCATTTGATCAATGGCGCAAAAACCAGCTTGTAATGAAATTCATGAATATCATGGTACTTTGTAGGTCATGACAAGCGATCGGCTAACTGAGAGCGAGCGTACTTGTGGTTGTAAGCTTATTGAATCTGTTTTACTAAATTGTCGCGGAGTTGTAGATCAGGTATGATAATGGAATTTTTTCCTGAATAATTCGTTTCGATCTAATATTTATACCTTTCTATCATTTAAGTATGTAGGATCATTTATTGAATTGATCTTTGTATACTTATCCAATATAAATAACATCTCCTCGTCAAGTTTCAAATTTTATTGTATTGAAGCTGTAAGTTACAAAGTTATTACGCTGTTTTTCTTTAAAAATATAACTAAGTTTTGATGTTTTCAGGTGGTAAACTGTATATATTATAATCCACTTTTGACTCTTCACATCCTTGAAGAACGTAATTTAACTCAAGCGTTCTTCAGCATATGGTTTGAAAATATCAACAAATTTTCACGTGTTCATGATAAGAAATTAGTAATTGTAACTTTATGTTCTTTAATGGAAACACCTGTTGAGCAATTACCACCCATTTTACAAACTGGATGGCCTCAGGTTTTAGAAGTAATTTTGACAACGTTTAGCACTTTACCAAAAGCCGAAGAAAGTAAGTTTTTACAAAGCATTTCTATATTAATCATATTGAGATTAACCTAATTATTTATTAGTTCGAAATGAAATGGAAAAGACATTTGAGAATGATAGTGAAGACGACGACGACGACGACAACGAAGGAGAATCTGAACAAAATAAAGATAATGATGGAGATGATGGTGAGATATAAAATGCATTATCTGTTTTTTTTATGTTTAAGATTATTCATGATTTGTTTATAATATTTAAAGATGATGATGTACAAGATGAAGATACAGAATATTTGGAATTTTTGGCACAAGAGGTAAATTAATTTATAAAAATAATCTTTTAAGTTTAGTTAATTATTTTTAATATTTTCAACTATGGTTATAGGCTGCAAGACATGCACGTAGTGAAGGTGATTATGATGACGACGAAGATGAAGAAGAATTGGAGGAGGAAGTATTATTTGAAACACCATTAGATAAAGTCGACGTTTATATTAGATTTCATGAAGTATTTGTTGGTAATGTATCTGCTTAATCATAACTATTTAGATATTCTATCCCTCATCATTTAAAATTTTTTGATTTTTTAGGTGTCCAACAACATTATCCAACTTCGTATAATCTTCTTACAAAAAATCTTGATACAGAAAAACAAAATTTTATAATGAAAATATTTAGTATGGCAGACGAAAGAAAAAAGAATTTGGAAAATCAAACTAATGAAAAATGATGATTAAAAATAATAATAACTATTTGTATATTATCAAAAAAAAGTACGAACTTTATATTCTTATATTGTTTTAGTGAAATATTAATATTTTCATTATTTTAATGCTACAAAAAAAAAAAAAGTAATATTATTATAATAATTAGAAAGCTTTTAAATTTCGCTTATTTATTATTCACCGAACAATGGGATATCAAAAGTCACCGGACACTTAATTAGGAAAAGGTTTTTTTCAAAATAAAAAATTTTTCTTATTAAGTAAATAGCTTTTTATGAAATAAGTGAGAGAACTTGTGCGTTAAAACGAATTACATTACCTTATTATTTCTTTTCTTAATATGTAGTATGTACCAGTCAAGTGAGATAAATTGTCAATAATTCATAAAATTTTTTTATTTAATATCCTGCATCCTTTATTTTTATAATATACCAGAATCTTATTTTAAAAAAAACTTTAAAATAGTTTCCAATATCAGCGTAATGACCAATCTACCTATAAATACCTTAACTCAATCTACGATTCTATGTTTTAATTTTTTTGTTATGATTTTCTTAATAAACTAAACACTTTTCATATAATAGAACATTATAATCTTTATCTTGAATCAAAGAAATATAATTATTTATTTATCAAAATTTATTTTAAACGTTAACTTACATAACAATATTCACATATGTTAGTTTACTAAATAATGTTACCTATCATGATTTAGTTGATATACTGTATCTTTATAATAATAAGGCAAAAAAAAATCATTAAAATTAGATTTTTATAACTTAGAAAAAAATATATATATTGACTTTTTCTTATCTTTTAAAATAATAATAGTAATAAAGATAAAAATCATACATTTGAAAGAACAATTGTCAGAATCTTATAAACTGTTAAATAAATGCGCAGTAATTTATAGTAATTACGTTACATGTATCACAGGAACAAGTGAATGCACAAAATAATTTCTCAAACTTTTTCGCATATTCTCAAAATTATGTATATTAAAAAGGGCCCCGTGAATCCTTTTGCGCAAGTAAAGCAAAATTCAAACGAGAAAAAAAACTTACCATTATTAACATCATTGAAATTAACAATAAAAGAATATCATCATGATATTTTTCCGGCTCTGTAGATGCTCAAAGTCAAAGCGGACATATAACATACCGTATTTCAGCCAGGGCGCAATATAACATTCTTTGATGTTTGGCGCAGAATCGTACTTGCGATAAAAAATTGAAATATATCTTCACATTAAGCAACGATTTCATGAATATAAGGCAGAATGGAATGCGTGTGAATCGGAAATATTGCATTGTTTATTTTTACCTCAGTTGCTAATCTCTGCTATAGATTCGAAAATTTTCCATTGCGTAACTTAATACTTTATATGGTCCGGGTTGGAATGATATCGATATACATAGGAATGGGTGGAATATATTTCGAAAATCTAGTGTAGAAAAGGTGTATGGGGGTGAGAATCTCATAGTTAGCAAAGTAGATAAGAACGAAACAAGTTACTCGAATTTTTTGTAATCATTTCTTCGATATTTCAGCCAATTAATAAGAATATAATTCGGACTTACAAAACGTGTCTTGATAATAATCAACAAAGTTTATTCAGGCTTAAGACGCAATAAAAGTTAAACTTTTGAATCATATATAAAACATATAAAACTCGTTTTTCATTTTATTTTAACTCTTTCTACTAATATTTTACTCAATCACCAACTCTTCTACCATAAAAATGAGTCTCTCTAAAACTATTTGGTTCCAAATCGAAAGTCATTATCACGCAAATAAAATCACCGAAATTTCCCGGAAATGATTTTATTGATCTCCTTAAAGCAATATCAAAAGAAGAAAAACTGACTTGTGCTCAAATCTAACTTTATAAGTAAAAAAAATGACCGATTTAAAACGTATCACTTTGGACAACGCAATTTTTAAGGATTATCAAAGAACTTTATTAAATTAACAGAGGTTTATGAAATCGATGAAGATAACCCGATCGGAGTGAGGCTTCCGGGTTATTATTGTAATCGTTTAACAACACAAATGTCTGTAAATTTACTAACCTTTTTTGATTACTTAACCCGATTTAGATGCTAAACATCAAGGGAAGCCTTTGTGTCGTCGTAATAATTGGTCAAACACGAACGTGACGTGCTAAACTTTTTGATAGCCTTTGTTTCATCGCTCTGCATCATATTTGCTAATACTCGAAACTTTCCTACGCTTCGTAGGTCATATATGAAACGCAGAAAAATAGAGTGCAAAGAAAACAAATCTTTCGATAATAAATATGTTCAAATTCCACTTAAAATATTTAACATGCTTAGCTTCAGCGAATTCGCCCCCTGATCCGCGCGTCAGTTTTGCAGCAATAAAGAATCTTCAAGTTGGTCAACATTCTGTTCTCCCAAATTTCGGTCAGGAGCCAAAACATTTTGCTAAGGGTTACCTGGGAAGGAAACTCTATGTTACAAATCGAATGATTAATGTGTGGAATGATATCTCAAAAGATCAACTTCATTCTTTCAAACGCGTTCTGTCGGGCCCAATGGGCGTAGGGAAGTCATACTTCGCGTTGTACCTCGCCGCTAGGGCATATGCTAAAAGATGGCTAACACTCTATATCGCAGACGCAAGCTGAGTTAGATGTGGATACACCAGAGGAAGCGGGAGAGGTTATCTGCAATTACTTCCTGGCTCTAAATAGGGATATTTTGACTGGTGACGAGCTTGATATGCTTGTGGAAATGTTACTTATTCTTCTTCTGATAAGGTTAACATTGCTGAAAAATTTTAGGAGAGCTACTTAAACAAGTAGAGCGCAAAACATGGTGTATTATTCAAAGAAGATCCTCCAGTGCCTAAAAGACTTCATTTTTTGAGCTCACTGATGAACCTTACTTTCTGGGTTGTACATTATAAGGGTGTACATGTAATTTTTACAGGAACTGCACATGCCAAGTATGAGATGAAATACATGAAAATGGTCAGAACAGATGGTGGACTATTTATATCAGCCCATTAGAGAACAACATGTTTGATATGTGGTTAGAAACACACCCTCTTCTGAAGATATCTGGCATTAAAGTTAAAGAAGCTACAAATTGTATACCACATGAATTAATGTATCTCGTTGGATATGTAAATGAATTCAATGTAAATACTATAGATGTAAACTTCTTTCAACAAATATTAAATAATTGATAGTAACTTCACTTCACAGTTCACAGTAAGCAATGTATGGCAAAATCCACTAATCAGTGTTTTGCTCATAGTAACTGAGGAGTTATCGGCAATTACCTGTGAAGTTACGTTATAATAATCTGGTTCAGATAATTAAACTTTTAATGTTGCAAATTACTTCACGGCCAAAGTATAATTATCATATGCAGAAAAAAAGTAGTAAAAATTGCTACTATGAAGCTTTGACAAGTATCTTTCTTCCTAATAAACCTAGTAGATAATTTGATTGGCACTACTAGTTTTGTAAGGATGGAGTTTTTACTCATTACCTTCCAATATGTCCATCGGCCTCAGAAAGCCCTTTTAAAGATATATAAGTCATTTGACCTACCAAAAGAAATAAAATATCAACTCAGTATTAGAAAACTGTTCAGTTCTCAATTTGAGGAAGCCTTATTCAATAGGCTTGTGTCCAGATCTAACACAATAATACTCCTCCAGACAACAGATCTTAATAATAGAAAAATAAGCCCCGTTAGAATTGAATTTGAAGATTATGCAATAATAAAGCAACCCAACTTATCCCTTAGATTGGTTGTGATAAAGTATAGGTCGTGGCTCTGATGGATATCTCCAATTTGACTTTATGCTAGAAACCATATTTATACAAGTATCAATTAGTAGCTTTACCAAACATAACAGCGTATCATTAAAAAATATTGATAAATCCTTTAAACTAATGCTTTTACAAGCTGATATCACTGCAATTGATATTAATGAAAGAAACCAAATTGAAATATACTTAGACGAGATATATAGACCCACTCATTCTGCTAGAATAGATCCTTCAAGCTGTAAGGGAAGGATCAGAAATAACATAATTTCCTAAAGAGAGAAAGGGGATTCACCTAGGATAACATTACTATATAATTTCTTTATTTAAAAGTAATAAAAATGATGACAGAGAGGAGAAGGAATCAAAATCCTTAAAATAAAAATGACGTAATTTCTGGCCCTTCCCTAAGTTTAATGTTTTTAAAAATGGCAAACACAACCTGAATCTTGAATTGTTTATATTCGAGATCTATCCAGTACTGCCACTCACTTGACAAAAGTTAAACAATTTCCTGGCATAGCTCATGTTACTTTTGTTGAAAACTTTTTCAAAATATATTATAATATCTTTATTATTACATATGTAATTCAAAATTTGAATATAATAAATAATGTATTTAATTTATTAATTGCATATGAATATTGATAAATGTCATTTAGGTTTAATTTTTAACATGTGAATACCTGTATACAGTGTTGTTATGGGATATTGATGGGATACTGATGGGACATTGATGGGACATAGATGAAACAGATAGGACATTTGGGACATAGTGTCAGACAGGTTGAGACATATAGCTGGGACAACAAATCTCTGGAACATCAAAAATGTACATTACTGCCTGTATATATATAGAGCAGAATGTTATTAAATCTTTTTCGATATCTATTAAGCGATATAAACATGAATGAATTTGTTAAATATGATATCAGGAAAATTCTTACCAATTTTCTTTTTAACATACGTAATAAATAAATAAATTGTGACATGCACTTGACTAAACATTCAGATTCAAGTTTAAGAAGAGTAGTACCATGGATATCATTTAATACTGCACTAATGTGAATATGTAATTTGCATCTCAGAATAAAAACGTATATATTCACAAAAAATTAAAGTGTGATATTCTTTAACTATATAACAATCTAATGGGAATAAGTAAAAGAAATGAATCTATTAAAGACTTAATAGTATAGATGGATGAAATTTTATTTTTTTTTACACTCATATTTTCATTTTCTTTTTATACATTAAACTTATTATTTCTTTATCTATTATTGATATAAAAATGTATCTTTTTTCAACATTAACCAAATAATACCAAATTATTCAATCCAAAAATCTAATATTTAGGAATAAGAATTCTTCTTAAAAACTTCATATCATCAGAAGTACCATAATTTCTCACTGTTTTCTAATCTTGTTTTGTCAAAAATTCAGGTCTTTCTTGTAATTTTTATAAGCTCACTGGATAACTGTTATATAGAATTTTCAAAGCCATATTTATAGTAGTATTTAGAAATCAAGAATCCTCAAGATTGCTTCATTGATCTTCTCAAACCTTGAAAAAACTTCATTATAGATTAGAAGATCTAATCCAGAATAGGTAGATCATGCATAACATTTTAGGCCAATTTTTATCCTGCATAAATTATGCAGGTAATACATTTTACAATTTTACTAGACAGATTGTATAGCTATTCATTTTGCAAAAAAATAAAGGCTAAATATAGTTAAGATAGATAATATTAATAATTATTCAGTTAAAAGATATTAAGTCTATCTCTTTCCTTACATTTTTTTACACAGAAGCCTAGTACTCATCAACATCAATAAAACTAAACACACTTACACTATACTGAATTAATGCAAAAGGCTTTGGTAATAATGAAGAAGAAGTCAATGAACATAGCTCATTAATCAAATTAGATATAAAGCTCTTAGTTTTTTTAGACTTAATTGGCACAATATTTTTGGGTTTAATAGATCCATTAGGCATGATATAATTGCATTGTATTTTATTTTTTATTATAGCCAATCTATCAGATAATTGGTATCTCTTATGCTTTAAATAAGTTATATAAAGTTAATTTTGCAAAATATGATAAGGTTTATACCTTCTATTAATAGAACATCATTTATCTATATTTACAGTACAACGAATTTCTCTACCAGACATATAAAGGAACTTCTTTTCCTTAAGAATATTATTATTTTTAACCGCTTTCCAAATTTGTTTTGCTAATAAAACAGGCCTCTTCCTATAATTTCTATAAGCTTTTTGAATAAATACAGCACATCCATTCTTAGTTTTAGTTTTAAAACATTCATTATTCCAATGGTATTTTATTAAATCCTCAGATTTAATCTCATATCTATATCTGCATCATCTACTGAAATATGTTTTTTTTTTAGTTTTACATTAGTAATCTTTACCAATTTCCAGCAATCAAAGTAAATAGCTATATTACTCTTATAAATTCTAGGTCAACAATAAGTATAAGAATTATCCATCTTACCATTTCTAAATCTAACAAACAAGCTAATATACACTGAATCCCTGATTGGTTAATAGTTCTTGTAATCGAATTCTAACACTTACTACCCAAGCAACTAGTGACTGACCTGGCTTAATAACTGATAATATATTATATTCCTTTCTATTTTGATAATTTTATTGATATCAGTTCTATAACAGTAATTTATAATATATACATTAACATATTTCATATTATATTCAGAATAATTATTAATAGATTTAGGTATAACCTTATTAAATTACTCATCTAAAATAATATTAAAACCTATTCTAGACATGTTTATTAATGAATTAGTTGATTTATATTAATTTAACAATTATAGCATTTTTAGTTAATTATGACAATTCTTTATCAAAGAATATCATGATTCAAATTTATACAGATTTGCTTTATTAATTTATAGCCGATTTGAGAGACTACATACTGCTAAATCCAAATTCATTTTTACTTCAGAACTTCAAAGTAAAAATAGATTCATTGATTCAGTTAAATTAGATCTAATTACTATAGATAGCTAAATTATGCACAGTGCTTTTGATCAAATTGGCATATTACTATTTTAGTATAATTACCATTACATTACTTAGAAGCTAATCTAGAATAGGCAGATCATAATCTTTATTCTGCATAAATCTGCAGGTAATACATTCTACTAGATAGATAAAAAATTTATATCGCACATACCTACATGTATTGATCATAATATATTATTTTATTAAGATAATATTTAGAATTTGGGTAAAAGACTGATCTGGAAAATTCGGCAGGTGATACATTTCATACATAGTATCTTCAACCAATTTTATTAAATGATCATATATGCAGATTATATAGCTATCATTTCACAAAAAAATAAAGTATAAGCTATATTTAGCTAAATATAATTAAGATATATAACACTAATATTTAGTTAAAAGATATTGTGAAATGCTTTGCATCGTGCCTTAATGGCAAGGTTAAGTCTATTTTTTTCCTACATTTGTCTGCATAGAATCAAAATATACTTCAGCAAGATCACTCAAAGTAGTTCTGCTAGAAATATTAGGCATATTTGATCAATCGTTCTAAATATTTCTAATTACAGATACACTTGTACTATGTTGTATTAATGTAATAGGCTTTCGTAACAATAGAAAAGAAATTAGCCCATTTAGTATTTCAGATCTTTTTGAATTTTTAAAGTGCTGGTCGAAGATTCATTGACTATAGTGATACTTAAAGGTTCACTAGTCATAGTGTAAAGAGAAAATAAACACTTCTATGCATTTTTCACACCTGTTTTCTACTTATACAGTTTTCCCTTAACCTAATTTCTCTTTGATTTACAGGTAAAATAATAGCTCAAAATTAGTGTGAATAGATGCACCTATTATGCTAAGAGTCTGCAGAGATAGTTGCAAAACAAAAAAAATCTCTGATTTTTGTTGTCAATCCAACTTACCAATCACAAATTAAGATTTTATCCCTAAATACCCTGCATTAGTGTGAATACAATCAAACTATCAGATTCTTATCAATTTGTCTATTAATATTCTACTATTCATATATGAAGAGTTAATCAAAGTAAGCTTTTATTTGCAATACATTAGATAAATTACAAGTTAATGATTTTGCTTATGATACAGTTGAAAGGCGCTAGTCCTAAAGAAACCCATTTCATACATGATAGTCTATCCTATTTATTATGTCTATTCTATCTACCACTTAATAATCTACTATATTCATTATTTTCATCTTAACCTCAGTTTCATCAGTCGTAATACTAACGATAATCTTAAAAGGAAAACTGTGTTAGTTATAAGCTTTAAAGATGCTGTTTTGCAAATGTTCAGCCTAAACTGAAAATAAACCTACCTTTAATTACG